CCCCCCCCCCCCCCCCCCCCCCCCCCCCCCCCCCCCCCCCCCCCCCCCCCCCCCCCCCACCCCCCCCCCCCCCCCCCCTCTCAACAACAACACTTCTCCTAATGGTGATATCACTGTATGAAAAGATCAAGAATAAAACAAAGGTGGACTGAAATCATTTCCCTCTTTCTAGACAGTCCTTGAATTTATTAGAGTAATATGAACAGATCACAAATTACAGGAACAGTTCAGGAAAATGTTGTCATGACTACTGTATAAGTGGTGTAAGATGTTGAAATCCTTTCTTTTTGTTATTTATTTTTTCTTCTTTTTTTAATACTAAAATTGCAATATAGATGATCATGATAACAGAAAATGTGCTGTAAAAAAAAATAAGATGTGATAAAGAGGTTTAATGGCAGGAAATTAGAAAAATTCAGACAAAGAGAGTGAAGGAAAACCTACCAGTGAATTTTGAATAAATTGCACAGCTTTATCTTTGTTGATTCCACTCCAGTCTTGTAACATGTAACTGATGCAGCAGGCACAGTACACAAATCGCATGTCATTCTCGCTGCCATTCTCCAGAGCTGAGAAACGGGATAAAGAAGATATGGTCTGAAAATTATCTTGAAGTCACAAAATTATCTTCTCTTCTCTTCTTTTTTCTTCTTCTCTCTCTCTCTCTCTCTCTCTCTCTCTCTTGCTATATTGGGCTTTTCCTACTTTCTTTTTTCTCAAGCTCTGTCTTTAATATTTCTTTTTTATGCTCTCTGTGTCTTCCTTCTATTTAATTACTCTTTCCTTTCCCCTCCATTCTTATCAGCCTTTACCACCTGCCACAATTTGATGCAAAATTCTTAAGAATAATATCACAATTTTCCTACACTGATTGTTTACAGATGCTTGTAAAAGATTCATGTACAGCTCAACCACCAGGTTTGGTAAAGATAATTATATTAATAATTAAACGTTTTTATAAAGCGCATTACACATATGCATAAATTGCATGTCTCTCTATGTGTTTCACAGAACAGAATACAGGAGTGGACGTGGTGAATAATCCTATAATGCTTTTAAAGCCACACTGCACTACTTACAGCTACTTGCTCCCTCCATATAACAAACAATGCATAATCGGTGACCATTGGTCCCCCATGATCCTCTTTTTCTTATGTTAATTGAGAGCTGAGTTGATGAAATAGCCACCTGTCAGTGACCACGCTGGGTGGTCTAATTCCTCCTGGCCTAACTAGTACAAACAGGCTTTAAAGCAACTTACCTTCCATCCTCAAGCTGGAGAGCCTTGAGACCTGCAACGATGGCTGGCATGTTCACTCTAGATAGATCATCCCCTAAGATAAGAAGTGATGCCAGACCTGTGTATGTCATCGCAACATGGCCCCAGTCATAGGGATGGAAGGTGGCAGTGTCTTTCTATATATGGAAAATAAAACAAATCAAAGGCATTTGGATTTACAACTAACCGTTACTATTTGGCTATTCCCCATATATGCAGGTGAAGGGGAAAAATGTTATGTTAATGAATAAAATATGGTTCACTGGTAGAGCAGTGGTCTAAGAACTGGGAGGTTCTAGGTTTTAAACCAAGTTGACACGCTAGTTCACTATCTCATGGCATTTATGCTAATTATCAAGTCCCTCAGCTTTCGGCCCCCTGGTTGCTTACTGACAAGCATACACATGATTTCTTAGCAGTCAGATAAAACAAACCAAAAAATGGGAAGCCTTTTTTTTTAATGACTTGTTTATAAAAGCAGGTTTACGGCAACAAAATGAATTCATCTATTATGTACAGCAGTATCTCTGGATAGAAAAGCCTCGGACAATCTGGCATCTTTAAGAATGTGTATCAATGATCAATCACATATATTTAATGGTCTGCTGCAACAAAATTACTCATGTGATCTAACATTTTTCCATGTCAGTGTAAGTTAGTATTAGTCTCTTTTATACACCTATCTTACTATTCAAATTCAATACTCTTTCTTGGGAGTACATAAAAACTCAAGTATTATCATGTCTTTTATCTATATTACAACAAGTTAACATGGGCACAAAAAACAAATACATGTATACGACTCAGCATAATTACTTCAAAATATAAATTAAAAGATAGTACTCAGAGGAATTCTGAACTATGACTTATGTTAAATAAAGAGACTAGAGTTATTCTGCTTTAGTTCATGATTGGATTCCATTAAATTCTTACCTCTGATGGATTAAAAGTTAAGCCAATAGTAGAAGAACCTCTGAAACCACATCTTGATAATGACTCATCTGTATGATAGGAAACAATAATAAATCAACAATTCAAAGGTTATTTTAGACATTGCCTATTACACAGAAACTACATGTATTGTTCTCAAGAAAGACAAATACACATGTAATTTCTCTCTTTCTCTTTCTCTCTCTCTCTCTCTCACTAAAATAAAAAAAAAAAAAAAAAAAAAGTTGTGGGAGAGGGCATTGGTAAGGATGGTCTTGGGTTAAACAATCATCTATGGTTTGTTTTACCATACCTTGCAAAAGCTCTACAACAAATTTTGATTGACACCTAGAATTCACATGCAAGAGGTGCCGCGGTCGAGTGGTTAAGTCGCTGGACTGTCGAACACAAGGTCCGCGGTTCGAGACCGCCGCGGCATTAATGTCCTTTGGAAAGACATTGATCTACACTTGCCACACTCAACCCAGGTGATGTAAATGGGTACCTGGCAGGAATTAATCTTTGAAATGCTAGAGCGCCATAATGGCAGCACAGCTAAAGCCGGGGTAATAATCTCCAAGTTTGGAAGCGCTTAGTGATTGTAATAAGCGCTATATAAAAACTGAGTACCGGTATTATTATTATTATTAATAAAGATATTTGCTCACCTGTATTCTCAGGGTCTGGTAACACTTGAAGAGAATATATCCAGTTGATGATATCTTGTTTCTCAGACTCAATAACATCAAGAGAATTGAGGACATCCAAACCAGATAGCGCAAAGAAAGCAACGGTGAGTCTGTAAACATCAAAGTATTATGTATTCATTTTATACGTTAATCATTAAAAATTATGAAAATATATTTAAGCCTTCAAGTCTCTTCAAAGTTCACGTTCATGCAACTTCAGGTTTACTCCAGATCTACAATTTTTGTTATTTTTCCTTGTATCATTCAGGAAATGAGTCAGAGTGGACCTCTCAGTCTCACGCTGATGACACATCAGCAGGTGTGGAAACTTTTCCTGTTTGATCAATTAGTCTACAAACAATGCTGGATCTATTAAAGGGAAATCCAATCCAAAACCTAATAGAAAATTACTCTAAAAGAAAGCAGAAAATTCAGAGAAGCACACTGGTGAAACTTTAGAGAAAAAATAGGGAGAACAAAATCAAATTGTCAATTCTTTTTTTTGTGAAATGCATGACTCAGGATGGTATTTTTGTTTAAGAGGATCTATAATATCATGCTAAGGAAGGGCCTTAGGAGAAAACACAAATTATTGATATTTTTGTAAACGAAAAATAGAAGAGTTGTCTGATCCATTCTATTGATTGACCAAACTGCCAATTTGAAATTCACATAAATTACTGTCTAGTCTATAAAGAGTTCTAGATTATTTGTTTCAAAATCAAACATCCATAACTTTCTTGAGCGGGCTACCCCAATCGACAGTCCAAGCCCCATTTATTAACAGCTTGAAATCTGAACTTGAAAAGCATTGGCATCACCATTCTCTCAAATATACCCCTTGGCCTTATCAACGTAAATAGTGCTGCGATTGTCAAGATTGGCTCATAAGCTGATGATTCAAGCCTCTACAACCAAGTAAACAAAGTAAGTAAGTAAAAATAATAATTATAATTGGTATCGCCTTTTGCCTTTGGTCCGATAATCATTTATTAATTACAAATATTTAAATCCATTTCAAACTTTCGCCATTCTTCCGTTTATCTATTTTTCTGCTTTCACGGAATCACGCAAATACATTTTTCTCAAAGGTTAGATTCTAAGATAGCCTCTATTTCTTTAATTTATCATTCCTTCAAATTTCAATTTGAGTTTTGACTTTGTTTCCTTTCCTCTCACTTTCTCATATCATTATCTTTTTTCTTCTTCTTTTCTCCAGCTAAAATAGTTCACCTCGGCAGTTCGTTACACATTACCGAGAACACTCATACTTAGATCTAGTAAGTCTAAGTGAGGAACGCATTGTGTGAGAAACTGGCCCATCAGTAGAGTGGTTCAGATATCATTATGCATTCCCACTCACCCAGAAAAATGGCCATTGTCGAAATCATGACTGGTGCTTTTTATTTTAACGACATGAAATTCATGACAACACAAATCTCAATATGTGGGCACAATACCTGCTTGTATCAAGAGATGAATACGACGAAGGCAGAGCTTGAAGACACATCCTGAAAAATCTCACATGACGCTTGATTGAAAGGGTTGAATTACTATACTCTCCGACGTTGGAATCTGCATAATCTTCCATTTTTAGTCACTTTTAATGGTCATTTCTGATGCCGAATCTTAGGGTGGATTCACAATTAACAGCGCCCTCAACGGCTTGCCGCGACAGTTCAACTCGCAGTTCTAGTGCAGTGGGCGACGACAAAATGTTGGTTACCCAAAATGTTATGCCATTAAATGTCAGTATCCTTTGATTGATAAGGTCAGTATTGAGCGTTCTATACCTATGGCTCATCTTGTATTGATCAATTGAATGCTAAGTCCACTCCAAAAATAATTTGCTTTTTAACTGATGCAGAAAAAAAAAGAGAAACAGAGCCAAACAAATTGAGTAAATCCGGATAACTAATATGGAAGTTATGAATTCTTGTATAAGTATGAAAAACTATGGAACTTAGAAAATCTTGTTAGTTATCAGATTTTGCCCCGTTTTTTATTGGTTTGTCTTATTCGTTTCTGCTTCTATTGAAACTTATTTTTGGAGTGGACTTGCCCTGCAAGATCAATCATAACTCATGATAATACACGGCCCCAGGCGCGGATCCAGGATTTCGTAGGGGAGGGGGCCCAACTTTTTTTTTTTTTTGCTCCCGAAAATTTGAAAAACGCGCCGGCCAAAAATTCGCTCAGGGGGGGGGGGGGGGGGGGGGGGGGGGGGGGGGGGGGGGGGGGGGGGGGGGGGGTAGTGAGCACATTTTTTTTTTTTTTGATCCTCAAAAAAATTTCAATTTGCACCCCCCCCTTGAGCGCCAGGGGGGGGGCCCAACTCCCAAAAATCGTAAAAAATCACGTGATTTTACATGATTTTTTTCTCAAGGGGGGGGGGGCCCGGGCCCCCCGGGCCCCCCCCCCCCCTGGATCCGCCACTGCACGGCCCAGTGCAGATCGAATTAAATTAACTGAAATAACTTCAAAGAGATTGATATTTGCGCACTTTTTATATAAAATTTGTATGTCAAAAACCACCCATCAATTTTGATTTCGATTAAAAAATTTGGCCTGATTTTGGCAAAAAAGTGACAGAAAATATAATTGATGTTAATGCATGGGGTCAATTCAAACCCGTTTTCTAGCATCGTTGCACATTTTCACATAGATTATAGTCCCATCAAATCTCTTTTGCTGATAATAACGGAAAAAATTACCCCTGACCGCCAAAATGACCAAAATGTCGTGAGAAGGGTCACTGACTCACTATACATGAGACTAATATTCTTGGAATTAGCGCAATTTGTTTTACCCCGGATAGTATTCAAACCTTCCCCACAAAATTTTGATTAAATCTTCTAGGGAAGCTCACATATATTTCGATATGTTTTTTCTTCTTCTTGCAACAACTTTATATGCAGATAATGCAGGCATATCCGATCAGTCTTGTATTTACAGTATGGACTCTACAATAGTAAAAGTTAATATTTTATGCTTTTTCGTATACCAACCCTTTACGATCTACCTTTGTCTCAACTTCTTATATCATTGTAGTTGGTCTTCACATAGACCTAATCGAAGTATGCTATCTATATTAGGCTCATGCATTATACTGCCTGCCACGAAGCTACCAAGTTCTTAATTTATTCATTTTCATTTCTTCCACTTTTTGTGAGGAGGTACGTTGAAATGGCATGCATATAGGCCTATCACTCAGTCATGATTGATTGAAACATTGGACATTTTTTGGAGACAAAAATAGTCAGTTGAAGCTAGGCCCCGCTCCCAAAGATGATTCTTCCATCATGAACTTTTGAAAGGCGACATCCCCCCCCCCGCATCCCCCCAGGGGCGGATCTAGCTTTTTGCTAAGGGGGGGGTTTGACCAAAATAATGACGATGCAGAGCATCGTCCACGAGCCGCGTAGCGGCGAGCCGACTTTTTTGGGGGTGTTTATTTGAACCCCGTAAGTGATGTTTTCCTGGCATCTATTAACACAATGGAGACCATAAAAAGCAGTGCATGATAACGTCTTTTTAAATCAAGTAACAGCTTAATACACAGTTATATCCAGCCTTTTATCATGTGTTTGGTTAAGTTACCAGATGAGTTGAATATCTTCTCACAATATTTGCACTTGAAAGGGTTTCTCTCCAGCGTGCGTTCTTTTTTCTTTCTTTTTTTCTTTTTTTTTTTTTTTTTTTTTTTTTTTTGGGCCGCCCAAGGGGGGGGGGGGGTTTGAACCCCTTAAACCCCCCCCCCGTAGATCCGCGCCTGCCCCCCCCCATAACAGTTAAAAGGTGACTAGGAGCCTATTCCTCAAAGCCGGAGCGAAAGCACGGAGTAGACGTGCATGTTCCGCCTACAGTCATTCCATGGCAAATCAATATCTATCATGAGATCAATAATAATGATATCGTACGACACGTTAATTAACACAATTCTTTTGTTGATAACAAAGGCTGAATTTTGTTTGACCATATATTTTGTTTTACCTCAAACCGGAAATGAACTAGGATCAATCTCCAATTTTAAACCCTGAGACAGTAATAAGCTTAATTTTTTTTAAAAACCCAGATGCAGATCTAGACATATCAGAAAAAAATATGAAGGGGCCATTTTTGCAGGCCCTTTGATAGTGGCCGTGGATCCCGATTTCAATCGCCCTTATAAAACCTATTCGCTCGTGAGTCGTGAGGATGAAACGGATGGTAGTTTATTTTATGTTCCATCTTTTTTCTTTCTTCTGGTTCCCATGGGAGACTAGCTGCACTATGCAAGTGCAGCTGAAAATGTCCATCTAGCCTTTTGATTCTCTGTTTTTTTTTTCTTATTTCGTTGTACCCTTTTTTTCCCCTCCAATGTAAGGTCGTGTGGTTTCTTGTTTATGTAAACAATACTATGTAAGTTTATACAGTTTGCGATTCTTTTTTTCTTTCCATTGTATATTTTCTTTATAATTATGACGGAAATAAAAACAACTTACAAACAAACATGATAAGAAGAGAAGGAATATAGAGAGAGAGAGATAGATAGAGAGAAAGAGAGAGAGAGAGAGAGGGAGAGAGAGAGAGAGAGAGAGAGAGAGAGAGAGAGCGGAGGGAGAGAGGACGGGAGGGAGGCATGAAGAGAGAGAGAGAGAGAGAGAGAGAGAGCGGAGGGAGAGAGGACGGGAGGGAGGCACGAAGAGAGAGAGAGAGAGAGAGAGAGAGAGAGAGAGAAGGGGGGGGGGGGGGGGGGAGAGAAGGCAGTGAGCTTATTTCTTGATCTTATATGAGTGAATATATAAAGATGATACATTATCCCCTATGCCTACATAATTATTGTCCTTTAATTATTGTCCTTTAGTAGACAAGTCTCGATAGCTAAAACACACAGAGGGCCAGGAGCTTCTTTTTGTATGTGTGTGTGTTGGGGGGGGGGGGGGGTCCGCATCATCACCACTCTTACATGTTACATGCAGGCCCCGTGGACCGGTTTTCAAAGTAGGGGGGGGGGCTAAAATATTTAAATCAGGTAGAAACTTTTTTTTTTCCTCTCTCTCTCCAGTCTCTTTGGACTCCTGGGGCCCGTTCCTACAAACCGTCATAAGTCTAACTTCTCGACTAAATCAGCGTTAGTGAGCAACTTGTCCGCTACGTGTTTCACCAAGCCCTCTTTGCCAAGATCAACGACAACACCCTGACTAAGGAGTTATGACGCCTCTGACACCGTCGTATCTCTGTCATAACTATTTAGTCGATGGGCAGCGCCATCACATGTCATTTATTGGGTAGACTATGGCTGGCAAAAAAGGACAATAAATCCTACAACTATGATTTATCAACACATTCACTTAAACAGGAAGTTATCATTTTTTACATTAGAAAATCTGTTGAAAATATGCCATGTTTATATTTTAGGTTTTTTCCACTTAAATAAACTGATAATACGCGTTTCTTTTCACATTGTAAAATCGTCGAAAGGATAGCTATTTTGCCACAGCATGCAAGCCATAGTTTGAAGTGTATTCTTTAGTTTTCAGACCCATATTGCTTTTTTTTCTTCAAATGTGTAAAATGCACAGTTTAAAACATGTGTTTTAACCTTTGGAATGTTGAAGTTTTGTCATTTGATTATTCAACTGATACCTAAAACATTGGACATAAAGTTCATTACATCGTATTTTTCTAAAAATAATATATTGGTGTATTTTTATAAACTATCAAACTAAAATATCCGGGGGGTACCCATCTCAAGAACCAAACTGATTCACCGGTCATATAATGAAATACTCACAATTATATGTTAAAAGTACTTCTATTGTACAATCTACATACATTTGGAAGTACATTGCATCTCTTATTTCTTGGTATCATTTTCAATCTTTTTTATTACTAATTCATTTAAATAATTGCATTTTCCCTAATATTAATTTTGTAATAATCCGGTGGTATTGCGACTAAGGCTAAGTTTTGGCTCCTCTTCTCGCCGATAGTATCGATCTCACGAGATACTAGCTAGTAAGCTCTTCGTGAAACGGTTTAGGAAGATCAGAGACATCTCCGTAGTTGGCGGATAAAGTTATGACTGTCTTGTCGTTGGTTTCTAGGAACGAGCCCCAGGGGGCCGTTTCTCGAAACCAACTCCATGACAGTCATATCTTTGTCGGCGACCTACGGAGATGTCATGAAGCGGATAAACCGTTTCATAAAGCCATGACAGACATGATATCGATATATCGCGATACTAGCAGCTCAAGAACATAGTCTTTGTCACGATCCATTTGATTTATCAAGAATAACCCAAAACAAGTTTTGGGGCTAAAATTGTTCAAAAAGAAATATATACATATAAATTCTCCTAAAATAAATAATAAATAGTGTCATTATCAAATGTAGATCACCAAACGATTTGCATATTTCTGTAAAGATTCTTAAATTGAAGAAAAACCGGTGAGTGTTTTTTTTCGACAGTCGAATGAAAAGTTAGTTGAAGGATACCGTAATGTGATAGTTTATCAATACACCAGTTTACAGTTGTATCAGTGCGCATGCGCAGACAGTTGATCTCGGGTCACTGGCCCCGGAAGCGGGGTCAGTGGCCCCGGAAGCGGGGCCAATAACTTTTGACCAGTGGTATTTATGCGTAAATTAAGATTGCGCCCATGTAAATGATGATGTGCGCGCACAACGCAGCGCGTAGGGCA